AAAAAAAGAGAGGTCAGCCATTGAAAAGCCAATGGAAAACAGCTCTACTCTGACACATGTGTAATTGATATAAATCAGAGTCAATAGATGGCAACTGTTATCCTAATTGTACCACATAACAAATGAATTTTCATTCTTTCATTCAACCAACCGCCAGAATGATGCTGAAGTTCATCTTGAAGTTCTGGAGGAGTAAAATGCAGTGTCATCCAGTACCTGTGGTCTAGTGGCACAGAAACACAAAGGAACAGGCGCGCATAATAGAATGTATCTCCGCTAAGAAATGTGGGCAGAGTATGGCCTAAGGTAAGAGGTCAAAGCCAGCCTACACATGGGGAAGGCTGGTCAGATAGGCTTTCTGGAGAAGATGATATCTAACGCTGTTTCTTGAGGACAAATAAAGTCAGGTGTTTTAAACAAAAGGAGAATGCATCAAAAACAAGGAGAACCTGGACAAAAGGTGAACTAGCAGAATGCCAAGAGGGCATTTAGGAGTCAGACAGTTGGACCGAGTTAAGTTGTTATGAATATTAATATATATCATGACTGGAAATTGTTTAATACCTGTAGTTTCTGCAATTTCCCCTCAACGGCTATTTGATCCGTAGTCTCAGTAGAAAAACTGGCAAGTTCTTCGGCAAATTGGTCCAGTGTGGCATGCAGGTCTGTGACACAAACCTGGTACGAGTGGTGCTCTTGAACATGACCTTCCAGTTTTTGCACGGAATCCTAAAAATAAAACCATTATTAATTTGCAAGTTATTTCTCTCCCAACTTTTTCACTCGGGAGATGATTACGTTTTTCATCGTTTCACTGAAACAGGAATATGGCCACCAACTGGCCAGCCTTCTAACGATTTAAAGTTTGAGACGTTTCGCTGTAAAAAAATGAAGTCATAGTTGTTGTTGTGGAAGTCAGATTCTTGCCCCCATGCTTTTCTGCTTTCTGAAAACAATTTTCATCTGTCAAGAGGTTGTCAAAACTAAATGGCTACAAATTAGATAACCAAATCTTAAGCACTCATAATAAAGCAGTCCCTCAATTACCCAAGTACCCACACTTGGGTAAGTGCATCCTAACCCCAGGTTGCTTTCCTGAGACTCAAACTCCGAAGCTCTGTTGGAGAAAGGAACCCTAAGTCAAGTGCAAAGGATCTCTGCAGGGCACAAAATAAGACGTACGTGGTCAGATCAGATCACAAACGGAACCGCTATTTGTCATGAACTGAACTGTATCCCCTAAAAAAGTCACAGCAAAACCCTGTCTCCTCTCCTTGTAATGAAAGGCACCTGCGTGGCAGGGTGGATTAGGAGCTGAACTGCTAACTACATGGTCAGCAGTTCAAAACCCTCAGCTACTCCAGGGGAGAAAGGTAAGGCTCTCGGCCTCTGTAAGGGCTGACAGGCTTGGGGACCCTCTGGAGCTGTTCCTCTCTGTTCTACTGGATTACTGTGGCCAGAATCAACCCAAAGAGAGTGGGTTCTACAGGTAATAGCCTTCAATATAGAATTAAACCTCAACAGAAAGAAAACAAAAACCCTCATAAACGATCAAAGTAGATGGATAAAAGACAGATGGATAGACAACTTTGATAACTTTTGGCACCTTCATAATGATGCCTAACTGAATTTTAACCCTTCCTATTGCTGAAAAAGAAAGAAAGAACATCATCAAATCGTCAAATAACACAAAATTTAGCCCTCTGCAATAACTAACTGGATTAATTCCTCCACTCTTACGGAGTTAGCATCTACATCTAGAAATGAGTAACTAAGGTGATTTTGTTTAAAGAAAACAAAACCTTTTGATCTAAGCAAAGAACAAAACGTAGTTGCCCTTAAAAATCTTCTCTATTATTCATATGCAAAATCACGACAATTATTTAACTTTTCAGCTTGTCCCATCACCTGCAGTTGTTGGAGGAGACTTTCATGTAGATGCTTAATTTCCAGCCAAGGCTCTTCACTAAAGTTGGGATTTTTCGTGCATTCCAAGAGGTAATTCCCTTGGGATTTTAATTCCTTTAGCAACGATGTCAAATCTTGTGCTTTCTGGAGGAATTTTTTATAATTTTTTAACTGAGCTTTCTTCTCCTGCAACCCATTTTGCAGCACAAAGCCAGCTTCTTGCTTCGTCTTTAGCTCCGTGAGCATCAGCCTCAGCGCCTCCTTGCTTTGCAGGTACTTTTCCCCTTCCAGGAGGAGTTTCTCTTGATGGCTACATTCAAAAAACGCCTTAGAAATAAGAGGGCATTTAACAAAACGGGCCGTACCCCCTACTACCATGACCCCAAGCCTGCCTTTCACAGTGGGCTAGGCTGGCGCATGTACATAAGTACAGATAAGAGCTCAGGATGCACGTAATCCAGGTCAGATAAACCCCTCAGGTACAGAAATGGGAGTAGCTCGGAGTATAGGGGATAGGTGGGGAGAGGAGGGGGTAAGAAACTGCAGCAGGAGACAGCAGTGAGTATAAGATATGAAAATAATAATAATTTATCATTTTTCAAGGGGTCATGAGGGTAGGAGGCTGGGAAGGGAGGGTAAAAAGAGGAGGTGATATCAAGGGCTTAAATAGAATGTAAATGTTTAGAAAATAATGATAGAAACATACATACAAATATGCTTGATACAACTGATGTATGGATTATTATAAGAGCTGTAAGAGCCCCAAATAAAATCTTAAAAAATAAAATTTTTGACCTGAGAACCAATTTTCAAACATGTCCTAATAGTTGCTGTTAGGTATAAATACAATTTTTATATGATCTGATTTCCACCAGATAGCAAATGTATCACTTAAGACACATGATATGAATTAAGGATTTTTGCCAAAATAAAGTGCAACATTTATCAATGTTGAGACATTAGAGCATATGGTGAAAGGCACAGATCATGTATTCTAGAGCGACACCGGGCAGACAGATATATGGAGGCTGTTTGGGGACAGGGTGTTTTGGTGCAAAAGCAGGATATTGAAGGTGGAATGTAAGATGATGCCAATTTGCTACTGAGAATGGTACAGCGATGCACAAGTGAAACACAACACTGCCCCAGAGTCAGGACACCGTCACTCCAGATCTCATCGGAGAACTCTCCGTTTCTGTCTCTGGCATAGCGGATGTCCTTGACTTGGCTGACTTGCTCTTCAAGAGCGAATCATTCCCAATCCAGGATGCAGAGAAAACATACTTGGCCTGGCTTCATTTCACAATGAAAATGATGCCATTAGGAAAGGCGTGCGCTTTACCTTAGGTACGTGTTGGCTAAGTGGAGGGTGTTGTCCCACTGGTGCCTGATGTCGGTGAGAGTCTGCTGGGCCATGGGCGCCTTGCTGTTCTCAGCCTGCTTCCTGATGTTCTGCAGTTTAGCATCCCCTTCAGGCTTCAGTAAGATGATTTCCTGAATGAAACATTTCACTTGTAGTACTTTGGGGTAGTATACACCTCTCTTTCTTTTTCCACCCCCCTCCCTCTCTTTCTTTATAGACTTTATGTTGAGATTCTCACTACAGAGCATATTGCAAAATTCATCTTTCCTTTCAGAAATATCCAGAAAACCATTATCTCCTCTCATGTTATAGAGTTGATTCTCCATAACATTGTCCACTTTCACCTGATAGCATTCCTTTGTCCTCCAACTGCCCATGAGTAACTAGATTCCAATAGAAAACCAGAAAGTCCCCCTTCTTAGCCATCCACTGATAGTTCCAGATGGGAAATGACGTTGACAATACCAACGAGGCATTTTTTTCTCACAGCCAAGGTCAAGCGTTGGCTTCCCACTGGAGAATGCGCTGTCCCTCAGGTCTGCTCTCCTCTCCGTCCTCACATCAATGCCCCTTTCCTGTCTTTGCTCAGTCAAGTGCTTCTCTCTCTGAAAACACTGCTCAAGGACTACCTTCTCAGGGACACCGTTCAGCCAAAACTTCAACTTCTTTGGATGACAGCCCTAAGTCTCACCAAGGCCGACAACCCTGACTATCCTGCACCTGTTCTTCCTCAAACCTCTTCATGCGTTTCTTCTTCTGGAGTTCCTTTGAAGCAGGTGCCCTTTTTGCTGTGCATTCCCCACCCCAACAGTTTTATTGGAACATAATTTGCATATTCTACAATTGAATAGTTCAATTGTTCAATCATATCAAGGGGAGTTGTGCCATCGCCACCATATCTATCTTACAGCCTCCCCACCCCCTTTATCCATCCCCACCATGGTCACATCACCTTTAAACAGCTGTGCAATCACTGCCAGTTCTATTAGCAATGTCTATTTAATGCCTCCTTAGACAGAAAGTGAGCTCAGTCCTCCACGCTCTCAATCTCCAACAACCCTCAGTCTCCCGCTCAGAATCTAGCAAGCTGGATGACCCATAGCTATCCATTCTCGACAGATGTCCTCACCGGCCCTGCTCTTCACTTTGCCGGTGCCACTGCTACGGTGACTCACTGCTAACAGTCGGTGTCGGCTGACAGTAACGCTACAGCACAGAGGAGAACTGTCCCTGGGGGGCTCCTGGAGGGTACATTTTTATGGGAGTAGAAAGCCTCATCTTTCTCTCGCACTAAGTTGATACATATGCAAATAGTACACTCATGAAAATAATGTACACATACATATAACGTGTGGGAGTGACAACTGTATGTAAAAAAGTTCAGGCACAGCACGCTCAAGTGTGCATCTCCTATCTTTTGTGCCATTTCTAGAAATGCACTTTGGTCTCATATGCCCTCACTTAATAGCCTGAAAATGTTACTTTTGATCCTATTTTGTATAATAAGAATACAAGCCATGATCAAGAAATCATGGATTGCACTTGGCAGTACCCACGTGCAGTAGGAAAATAAACCATTGAAATGGTATGTTTGCTCTGGGGCAATTTGCAGCTGGGCCAGAGAGGGTTAGAGCGCTCATTGTACATCATTTTAGGGATGGGCAGAGGGTCGGGCAGAGGGCTGCGAACGGGGGTGCAAGGTTCACAGACGCACGGCACTCTTGGGCTGGGGCTGGCCAGCCACCCTGGGAGGGCCGTAGTCAGGGTGAAAAGAAGATTGTTACTTGCAGGGGAGAAAGCAGCTTGCAGGATCATAAAGGAGTCCTGCTGGGAGAAGAGCTACATTAGAAACCCCAGAGCAGGTTAGCGAGGGGGTCTGCTGCTGGGAATATTAAATCCCTGAACAGAAAATAAAATTGAAGTCAGCAACCTGTTAAAAAAGTTGGTATAGCAGGCTTACGAAAATAACGTGCAGAGAGTGGTGTGGCATGTAAAAACCCCTAAAGGTATCATGTGTGCCATCCGGGTAAAAACATGGGCTTCTTTTTCTACCCTATCAAAGTCCCATGGGGACAGTTTCTGTTCATCATCTGTGTTTCAATTCTTCTGCTTTCACGGAAGTCAGACAACGGAACGTTGCCCTTTCCGAGAATAAGCATGCTTTCTCTCCTTCATAAGCATTAAAATAATTTTAGGCCCATCATACGGCATCTCTTTGATAGGCTGAGAAATCTGAATTTCTTTGACCTTTTCACAGGGATGCAATTTTCCATTAAGAAACAGAACTTGGCAGCCTTTCTCTTTTCGGAAGCAGAGTTCACCCTGGCCTGTGAAATTTCATTTGCCCTCGCACCTCTGCAATTGAGTTACCTTTATTTTTTGGATGCGTTCTTCAAGTGGCATTTTGCCTTCAGATGAATTCAAAACCATGAGAGATTCTTTACACTCGGTTATCCAATGAATTACTTCCTGAGCAAGATCGTGAAAGCGCTGGTCCTCCACAGGAGATAACTTCTCTGCTCCATCATGTTCATCTAATCGTCTCAATAATGTCTGGTACCTCTCAATCAAAAGTGTTGATTCAGCTATTATTTCTTCTTCTTCACC